AYGTTGSAAAGTGTTTATCTTGAAACAGAGTAATGRTCCATATCATYATACTTACTCTATTTCTTTGCCAGTTAGAATGTTTTCAAGTCCAGTATAAGAAACTTGAAGTCTGAAATCCTCGTTATGTTTGTTGAAAGTCATGACTTTTTTTTGAGGTACAACATTRCCATGGTGATAAAGGACTTTTTTAACGTGTCTAATGGATTCTGTGCCATCTTCAGCTTTGACATGACGATCAAACGAGACCTGTACAAGACATCAGAGAAATGAAGAAATTTAAATTGAAACACCTTTTTCCATACTTTTCATTTTCTGAATGATTTACAAATAGGTCAAAACCTTTAATCTAAACAACATACCATGTAAAGGGTTACAACAAAGGCAACTCTATAATCTTATATGAAAAGTCATTCCTAGATAAACAATACCTGGATGGGGAAAATATTGGAGTCTCTGATCTGAAAAGCTTTGACTTTAAACCCTTTACCAAGGTTAGCAGCCTGATAAACAGCACCCATGGCTGCAGCTTCATCTGCATTGATGTTTTTAGCTAGATCTTGTCTGAGGAAATAATTATTGCACTGTAAATACATGTATAATACATGGATAGAAAGCTAAATATGAATGAATAAAAATAGAATGAATGGCTTAGAATGTCTATGAATGAATGGATTGAGAGAGTAATAAATGGATATAAGAATAATTAACTTACTTTTCAACAGCTTTAAGTAAGACTTCTTGTACTTTGGGAACCCTTGTTCCTCCACCAACTAATATGACACTTTCAATATCATTCTATAACAATAAAAATAATAATCATTAATAATATCCTTAACAAKAACTGCCATCATCACATAATATTATAAAATATTACCATGGTCATGGCTGCTGCTTTTAGAGCCTTGTACACTGGGTCAGCCACTCTTTCAAATAAATCACTGCACATCTCTTCTAATTCCGCTCTTGTAACCTTGGCACGGAAATCTATTTCCTCAAAAACTCCTTCAATCTATGGAACATGAGATGAATAAATAGATAAGATTAAATGGTCAATGAATGTGCAAGTGAATGCATGGGAAATGAATGATCAAATGAATAAATGGAAAATATTAGAAAATATATTATCTATTTTAAGAAATATCTTTAAATTGAAATCCCAGAAAGTAAAACTGTAACCCACCTGAGCAAAATGTTCACTATTGGCACTCAATACTTGCTTGACTCTCAAGGCTTCCTTGTAAAACTTAGCCATGGCACGAGGTGATTCTGTGACTTCCCCCTTGGCCTTGTAATTTTTCTAAAGAACATTGAATTACAGGGATGAGGAAAATATCACKGTTGATAAATGTTCAATGCAGCAAAGCTATGCTATTAAACACAGAGAGATGGAAGTTATSAAGCAGAATGATACCTTGAAGATCTGCACCAAGTGGTCTCTTAGTCTGATATCAATGGCATGACCACCAAGACCTCGGTCAAACCTGGATAAAGAGAGAAGTTTTCAGCTTAGACATGTTTTTTAACTTAATAATGGCGTGATGATACATAATGAGTGATGATACATAATGGTACAGTACTCACCCGACTCCTTTAATGACAAGCTGTGGTACTTTCTCTGTAATYCCTCTCTCCTTAGACTTGACTATACTGTACCCTAAACCAAGAAATTTAAAATGTTAATTCAGTACATAATTTAATAACAATGTCATTAGGTAATAACTTAAATCATATATGTAATAACTGATGACATATTTAAGCTTACCCACAATGGTTGCAGTCGTACTGGATGCTCCCATGTCATAAAACATCACATGCTAAAATACAAAAGTTATTATTCATTAATCATAAATATTACATGTGCAAGAGATTCAGCTTACAAAGATAGAGTCATTACCCTTTCCAAACTCTCATTGAAAGTCTTTTGTTGAAACAAACCAAAATTCAAAGCAACTAGAAAAGAAAGAAAGCTAAGCATCGTAAATGATGATAAAACTATCACAACTCAAATAATATTCTTACCTGCTGTGTTGCCATTCATTAACTGGAGAACATTTAAACCCACCATTTCAGCAGCCCTKAAAACATACAACAAATATTCAAATATTGTATTAACCTTTGAATGATAGTTTTTATGAACCTTTTTGACAACAAAATTCCATAGAAAACCATAATTTCTTTTCTGTTGAAATGATTACCACTATTTAGGCCTAAAACATTATGCTACAGAATTCAAAATTGTAACAAAGACTCTATTCAATGAATAGCTATTAATTATAGTTACCTCATGACAGCCCTTCGTTCAGCTTGGTTGAAGTATGCTGGTATGGTTATAACTACATCTTTCATTGGATGTTCTATAAAACAAATAGATTCAATGAAATATACTTGTATGTTTTTTCAATCTGAATAATTTGAAACCAGATTTAATAAAGTGTCAGTGATCACATACCAGCAAACTCTTCTGCAATTGTTCTTGAGTTGTTCAAAATCATTCCCAGTAACTCTTCAGGAGAATACTTACTTCCACTACGAGCAATTACCATTATTAGTTCTTCGTAACAAATGTTTTGGATATAATAAAAGGTCATAAATTTCAAGTTGCAGTTAGCTCACCTTGGGTGCTTGAAGACTGTTGTACCTGGAAAGTGGATATAATAAAATGAATAAATGGATGTGAAAATATATTGGTGATGAATAAAAAACAAAGAAATGGATGATTAGAAATATGAATGGATGACAATTCATAAAAGCCATCTTGATTAATACAAACCTGTTTCTTTATCCTCTTCCATATCATACCAAGGAAATCTAGAGGAAATATCATACAATATCATTAAAATATTTTTMTTTTTATTTTATAACACTACATGTCAAAATATCCATAATTCAGGGTATATACCTTTGTTTATACTGCTTGACTTGAGGATTATCAAACTTTTTAGCCAAAAGATCATGAATGTAGACATATGACATTGGAGGATGTGAGACCGACTACAAGAAGAGATAATAGAACTGAATAACAGGAAATAAATTGATGCATCATAATGACAGGTGGACTTACAACTCCAAGTGCACCGTCACCAAAAAAACGTTCTCCATTTCTAAACGATACCACCACTGGTGTTTTTCTTCTTGATTCTCTGCAGTAGAAAAATGATTATTTGAATTATATATTTGATATAAGCCCTGACCTATGTAATGGAAACTAACCCAATCAAAACAACTATAATAATAATAATAATAATTAGATAAGCAACGTCAGTCAGTCATCAAACCAGACAATTACCAACTAGACRAGCAARAATCYRTCCAGCAAACTTACCAACTCAAACYARAACAAAMTTACTGACTACCTAACTAAACAACCTGTTAGTCAACCAACATAAAGACAATATAGCAACAACCCAGTCAATATACTGTCTGACTTACTTGTTAAGGGCTATCTCCATAGGAACACCAGGCTGCAATCAATTAACAATCAGAATAAGTTTGTAGAAATAAAATTTATTAAAGAAATATAATGTACCTTTACAATGGCTACTTTCATAAACTGACTACCAAGATCTACAGACATTACAGCTAATCCACCTGAAAAGAAACCATACATCTATGAAAATAGATTTTAAAACACAAGATTGACAGAAAAGGTAATGTTTAAATCAGCATTGACAAATTGAAATTCATGACCTGGAAAAGGTTTGAAGATCACTAAATATTCACAATAGAAAAACTTTGTCATATCACTAACCTGATAAATGTACAAAACTAAATAAAACTACTATTGTTGTAAGACATGACATAATTAGTGTAGACGTCCCAGGAGGCATTCTTGATATATCTTATAAAGTGGTATTTTATCTAAAAAAAGTAAAGTTAACAAATCAATATTGCAGCATATTATCTAATAACTTAAAAGTATTCAAAGAAGCCAACTATGTTTGAATAATGCAGCTTTCAAACAAGTTGAAGAAAGATGCAGTTACAACTCAACCATGTGTAACATATAGCTAGGTTATAAATAATCCTACACAGCCAATCCATCATTCTGTTCCGTGAACAAAGCACAGAACTAACAAATATTTATTCATACAAYAAGATATTTGCTAAACGTTAAGATTAAAACCTACTGGGGAATTACGTCATACAATTTACTAACCTAGATAGTTCATAAAATTGTCAACGATCAAATGAAAAAGTCGTTAACTAAAACTTCACTTTCTTTATACAGAAAATATAAAACTTACTCCTAGATTTACGTGACTGTAAAATGACAATCGCCAAAATATTCAGCGAGCATTCTCTCAATAAACTTTATTAAAATAGTGAATTTCAATCACATAGCTGCTTTATAATATGTTATATCGATTTTTGTATTCAAAATCATAAATTCAAACAATTTGATTGCAACAATGACAATACTTACTAGAAAATCGGTGTAAACGGAGAACCAATTTCGACCCGTTTTGTCCACAATTTTCATTCGGTTTGAGAATTTTCTTTCATTTACCGGCGAACGTCTGCACGCGGCCAGCTCTGATTGGCTGAAATATTCAAGCGTGCGCAGTAAAGACCTTTTACACGTGGACTAGAGAGACTGGGCAAAAAAAAGATGTTGCAATAAAATGGGAAAAGTCAAAAAATGTAAACATATGATTGTTTAATTTGTTTAGAAATATGAGGAATGGCCTACTAGTCATTCTTCTGGTTACAAATAAATGTCTATTTTGGCCATTCGATGATTTTAAGCTCATATTTTCTTTTGTTTATGTTTTTTCATCTTTTYATTTTCCATTCAATAGGAAATAATTCAACCTTATGAGCTGTAGGAGATAATTTCGAAACTATAACTATTTAAACACGATTAGATTCTATATTTTGGGCACTCTGTGTTGCTTGGGCTTCCTGTACGTTTTTTAAAGTTTCTACCGCTGATAAATAAGTTTGCAGACGTCAAAATGGAGGTCATTGACAGAAGAGAGTCAGGTAGAATTTACTTATTTACTTTCTAATTTCTAATTGTACTTGCCCTTAAAATCTCTTTATACACATAGGACGAATCAAAGAAGTCAAAAGAATACTAGACTCAGCTACAAGGAGAAGAAGGCAGCAAAGACAACTAGAAGCTCTTGAAAAAGATAATACTCATGAAGATCCCCATGGACACATTAACGTGCTGCAGGCTAARGCTAGAATACCAGCATTTAATGATACCATGGAAGGTTGGTTTAGTCAATATTTACTAATATCTGGCCATCTCCAAATCAAAACTGTACCAAACAAGAATATATTCATAAGTTATAAATTTCTTCACTAGAAAAAAAGAAAAAGAAGAAAACAAAAACTGGAGAGCATTTCAAACAGGTGAARAAAACAAAGATTTTGATGCCAAAACCCTATAAACATTGTCAAGGGCAACTGCGTGAGTTTGTGCTGAATACTGATGTAATGATGTAAAAGTTGCTTACATAAGCTTACTCATTCTGTTACTCTTGACCACATCAGTCATCAATATCAAATGTTTTGGCGTAGTGTAGTGCATGTGCTTTATTTTAACTTAAGTTTTTGCTTTGTAGAGGTTCAAAAGAACATTCAACACTCTACTAGAGGAAGCAGTGAGTAAAATGGCGCTCATTAAAAACATTTCTAACAGTTAACAAGTCATTTTATTATTTAGCAACAAGATGCAGAGGAGGGTGAACCTACATATGCTTCGGCAAATGTTCCTCCTTCAAGATTTCCTGAAAGGCATTTTTGTGCAGTCTGTGGATATCCTTTGATCACTTTTGATGATTGGGATTCCTGTGTTATTTACTATTAACACAGGAAACCCAAGAAACATGTAGATTCACAAACATCTCAGATAGAAAGATTGCACTTAAACCGTGCTACTGTGCAGAATCTAAGTAGTACTAATTTGAACTAAAAGTGGACCTGAAGCAAGACGGTATTGAATGCTTCATTTGTATCAATACAATTTAATTTGCATACCACATGCATGATTTACTAAATGCAAGCAATATTTAGTTTGTACAGTTACATGGTTTAAGTGTAATCACTCTACCAAGCTTTTTTATTACATTTTCATTTTATTCCTTAACATTTCAAAAGTTTCCTTCTAATTACACCTGTGTATCTTGTGGTGCTCGCTATTGCTGTGTTAAATGTTTAGGAACACATCAGGATACAAGGTATTTTTGCATGTATTGAACATTACAACAATTAAAATGATTTTTGTCATGGTGTTTGTGTTTGCAAAGTGTCTGATATGAATTGTGGAACTTTCCATAATGTCACTTTTTTTCAAAAAAGGTTTTCATTTTGTTTTATATTCTCTTTCAGATGTTTAAAATGGACAGTGTGAATAGATCAATGTTGTGGCAATAAAATTTATTGCCACAACTATTTAATAGTTTTTGGCAGAACACACCAAGGTGCAAAATACTCCCAATGCTTTGTTCCTTCAGATAGAAATACATTGTACTATCATTGTACCATATAGAATTTGTATTTATGTCACAGCTACCAAGTGGAGGACTCTGGTGTTTTATTTCTTTCCTCATGCTGTTCAAGTTCAATTTATCAAGACTGAGTTGAAACAGAAACATAATCACATCTACATGTAAATATTGTAAACTGTCTTTATTAAATAATATTCAAAAACTCATACATAATTATTGAGTTATTAGGCCAATAAAATCAGCCTATTTGGTCACATGCATGGACCTTTATATCTGATAAAATACTCCTTATTAGTATTCTTTATGTAAAGAATGCTAATAAGGGTGACCTTTATCAGATATAAAGGTCCATGACCCTAGCAAAGGTCTCAGGTTGTATACCTGATCATTGACCAATACAGGATGTCAACCGATGTCAGTAAACAGCCAACAGTGGTTCTATTTTACTTTATGCGTTTTCAATGTGGGATAAAAATAGTGCTTTGTACAGTGATTCGCGCATGATCAGTTTGCCCCATTTATCTCAAAATTTGTTTATATGACAATTTCTCCAAGAATTTTAATGGATTTGAGTTTCAAACTAATGTTGGAGTTTTTGAAGCCGTTTAAAACACTGGAGATCATGTTTTATCAGGTATAAAGATTCTCGCCTTCAGCTCGAATCTTTATATCTGATAAAACRCTCTCTCGTGTTTTAAACTATACTTAATATTCTCTTTGCTTTCTTACAATTTGTACAACTGTTAAAACCTGCCTCTGTGATACAAAACTTAAATAACTTAAATAATTAATTTAACTTAATATAATATAAAAATTATATCAAATACTAGGACTTATCCCACATTCCACTTTTATCATGACTAAARTGATAGAAGTATGGTAGTCTGAGTCTTTCAACTTCATAGCCTTTCTCCAAGACTCTGTCTATCATTTCCCAGTCTTCTCCCCCCCATCGGTTCTTGTATTCTTTTACATTGACTCCCCCAAAGACATCCCAGTCACTCTTGTAGAAACCTGCACAAGAAAWKGAAGCTTACATCAGTGATCAATAGTRAGAAGGCAGACCTGTTCATGTAGTTTTTTTGTTAGCACAAGGTAGTTCTCACTTAGTGTTAGTACTATACTGCTTTTGTACTCACTAATAATCCCAAAAGCATAGCCATCCCAATATCCATTGCTTTGAGTTTGCTCTGTCTCAGGTCTTCCACATTTTGTGAGACGGAAAACAACTGGAGTAAAGCCTGATATTCCTTGAATTGTGTGCTGTAAATTCATAAAAAAGACTAAAAATTTCAGACCATATCTTGGGTCTAATCTTGCAAAACTACCTCTAGAGATAGTAGAGGTCATGCCAAAAGTCTTAGTCTCACTACTGCCTTTAGAGGCATGTAAGACAACAGCATTGTTGTAAACAAGAATCCTCAATTAAAATAATAATTTTGTAAAAATTCTTACTTTCCTAACACTTTCAAAGAGTGTACTTGGTGTGTTCAGGTGAAGATCAGTAAGGAATACAATGCTATTTTGGTCTTGAATACTTCCAACTGCTTCGCTTATKGCTAAGGTTTTATGAAATACACCACTCATTTTTATCACTGTATATTTTGTCAATCCATTTCTACAAAAACAAAACAGGAGGAAGGTTCAAAGGGTCAGCAATACTAAATAATCATGTTAACTAAAAACATTCAAAGCTTATAAGCAGTACATTATTCATCAGAACTGTTTTCCACACAAAAAATGATGACTCTTACGACTCTTACAGTCAATTATAATTGTTGATCATCTGAAAGTTAGTGTTAGTGCTACATGGATATCGCCACACATTAACTAACAAGTTAACAAACAATATATATCAATAAAGTATTAAGAAAAAAATATGGCCATCCAACTTTTTACCTTCGTAATTCATCTTCAATATTGACATCATTATTACCATAGTCAACAATAACAAAATGAACATTTTTATCATTAGTTGTATGGATAACCTTAGCCATGTTTTCAATATAATGTACTATCCATGGCCCTTGGTTCTTTGATGTAACAATGGCATTAATCTTTACTGTTGGTGACCAAACCATTCCTTTAGGTTTACAGATAGTRCTTGTGTTTTTGATATGATAGAAATACTCTGATAAACGCTGAAGTTCTTTTGATTTATTTTCTAACAGAACCAGCTCAAGGAAGAAGCGATTTCCACGTTTTTGGTCAGCATTGTTTTCGACATTCACCACATTAGCAAGTTTATATTCCCTGTTTGTATGATAAAAGGACTGATTTAATTATTAACAAGAACAATTGGATAGAGTCATTTTCATCTRTCTGTGAAACAATTACTACTAGTCAGTGTTTAATAGTAACTATTAGGGTGTAGTAGGCTAAAAAAAGGCAAAATCAAAASCGTTTTTGCATAATTTGTTTGTCGCAATATCATATTTTAAACTATTGGGAGCTAATAGGGGGTAATAGTATTTAATACAAGTACAATTCCTATTTCACAGACGGATGAAAATGACTCTATATACRGGCTATTCATTCATCCTTACCCTGGGTAATTTTCTTCAAGCTGTGCCAAAAATTGTTTTAAAACATCAATAACAATAGATTCCTTTATAATTGTATTTCCGCGACAAAGGTGAGCTCTTTCACACCAATCCCAGATCTTATCTTGTGTACCATCACTTGGAAACACATCACTGTAATGAGTATTTTCAACGCCTCTATAGCGAGGGTATTTCTTCTTCACTACATAACTTGGTGTATAATCACACTCTTCAAAAATTGACATTATTTTCATACGATCAGCAAATTTACAAGTGTAAAGGTTTTCCTTGGTGTATGTTGGATAATCATTAAGTGTTGAGGAGAAAGTGGTGTTAATCCATTGATACGACTTGGCATTTTTTATAGGTGTTTCTTGGAGAGCAAGACTAGCTGACTTTCTGAGAAATTCCCGTGTTCTTACATCACAGCTTGTATCATTAATTATGACAGTTGATAAACATGACTTTGGGATTGCTGTGAATGAATGAGCATCAGGCAATAACCATCGAACTTGAACCTGATCATAATTGATATCATTCATGACATGGATTATTTCAAAATAAACTGGTTGRCCATGGTTAAGATGAACTGATCTTGACTTGGACATTGATCGTCCTTTAGCAAACTTAACTCCATATAAAACATTTCTATTATTTCTGGCCAATAAAGCAACCCCTCCAGRATCTTGACTGTTGCTCAACCAAAACTCTGACAGCGTAGCAGATTTTAGTTCAAATCTATAATATCCTGATGTAGGAGGATAGAGAAGCCCCATGATCCTTTGTGCTGACCACATGCTGTTCATTATTGATACTAATTCATTTGGCATTTCAGGCTGTCCTCGCACATTTGGCCATGATGGAAATAGTGGATGCATTTGAAGACTGTCAATTGAACTTGAACACATTTTATTCCATAAATGCACATTGACATGACCCATTTTATGTGATACACCAGAATCCATTATTTTGTTGGAACCATGAATGTGTTCTATATGATATATGTGTTCACTATCATAGTAACATTCCAATATGAAAAATGCAATGGCAAGGACAATAATTGTAAGTAGACACAACCTTCTATATYTTCCGATATTATTTGTAACAACTTTCACCAGCATTGTCTATACAGCCCACCTTGAAAAGCCTGAAAATAGGAAGATTATTACCAAATTACCATAATATTTTTATAATTAGGTAATTAATGAAAATTTTTTGCAATTAAAATCCTGGTTCGATCACTACAACATAAAAGTCATAAGCTAAGGCAAAAGAAAAAAGGAATAAAGTAGGTCATGATGCACAAGACATCAACAAAGTCGTAGTAAAAAACCCATTGACAGAACAAGTTTGGGGGTTAGATGTTGGGGTGAGCGAAGAGTTAGCCTGAGCCAATGCAAGGAGGTAACCATAGCAACTGGATAACATCTCACACGCGTCACACAAGAATGCTAATGGAGTTAAGGTGTAACGATAATGGGGTCCCCTATTATAGCGAATACGGTATAATGCCTGTCTTTCTATTAAATCCCAATTTAGGTAATGTTTATACCACCTTTTATGCTTATAGCGTAGTGAAAACTAGGCTTAAAAACATTCATTTCAGTTTTAAAAAAGCTTTTTTTCATTTTAGACCAATCAAGGACCCCAGTGCTTCAGTTCAAGAGCATCAATCCATCCTTTATTTATTACTACTGCTTTCCTGATAACTATACAGTATGTAATGTATGATAAAATAGGTCTATTTATTTCTATTCTATTGTTCATGTTGTTGTTTCGTTTTTTATTTGTTGATTTTTTTTTCAGATATACATATTTTTTCCATCACATGTCAGTCTCTGGAACATTTCCAGATCATTTCCGCTGTAACGTGTTCGTTATTCCATTATACTGGTCTCTACTGAAACGTAGTTTGCATGTGGATATAACAAACATTCGATAGTGGGCCAATTTATAAGCGAGTCTAAGATTAACACTAGATAGCTTATAAGACGTTTATAAATACAAACAGTGGCAATATGAGCAGTAAACTTCAGCTTATAAAGTACAGTACCTCTACTCGACTAGCTAGCGACTACTTTCTTTGCCTAATCAAGTTACTTAGTTAATTCGCCATACAATCGCCTAAAACGCTCGTAAACTTAAAAAGTGACTTCGAAGTTCGGGAGGAAATGGCAGAAAACGATTTACTACACAAGCCTATAAGAATGAATGAAAGAACACATGGATGGCACATTTTCGATGAACAAAATTTCCCTTCACTCGATACGACACAATTTAAAAACTATGAAAAACTTAGTGTAAATTTAGCTTTTTTATCGATGTATTGTAAGTAACTCACCGGTTGCTTTCCCGTTCTCCAATCGAGGTCTCTACCATCAACTTTAACCCCAGTCGGCCGAGATTTGTAATATATTATGGCAAGCCTCTCAGGCAGCCAACCTCGTTTAAAAACGCTAAAAATTTCTGTATTTATTTAGAAAACAAGAGTCTAGCTTCAGGAACTTTGCATTTTTTATTCGAGACAAATTCTAGTCCAAAACTAGGCCCTTTTTCTGAAGAGTATATAAATTATTTAAAAATGAATGTCATTAAATGTAAAATACAATGATTGGATGGACAGCCTGTGTTGTGTAAACAAAAGCGTGCAGACAACAGCGCAGTCATCCGTTCCCAACCCTCCCCCTAATAACTTTTTCTGCACGATCGGAAGTTCTAAAACTTCCTGCAAGACGAAATTTCCACTAGAATCTTTGCAAATTCTACAAATAAACTTCGAACCAAAAAAAATACTGCACCGACCAAATCATCCACCCATCCCTCTCCCCTTAATGTCTGAGTCAATTCCAAAGGTGCCCATCCCCCCCCCCTCCCCGGGGCGAACCCCCGGGCATTTGACTTTTTGGAAAAAAATTGGTCAAATTCCCCACCATATGGGCAAAATTGACAGTMAAATGCCCACTAGTAAAAGCAAATGAGTGGTCAAATGCCCGCCCCATAAGTCAGGTTTTTTACGCTAGTTTTGGAGTGTTTTTGCTGCTTTTTGTATTTCTCATCGTGAAAGTACAAAAGATCGAGAATGTTCCCAAAAATGATTGTAAGCCTCGTGGCTGCTAATAGCGATCCGTGATCATGTGAAGCGCCTTTGAACTGTAAGGATATCGGCACTATATAAATAATACGTATTATTATTATTAAAATGCTTAGGTTCCCGAGATATTTTTATTTTTAACTTAAGCTTAAAAGTTCGTATTGTGTCACGAAATWGCGGTTTCGCATCTGAATCGATAATTTCCAAGATGGTCGCCTACTCGTCAAATGCCCGCCCGTCTGCTCCTAACAGAGTCAAATTCCCCACTGTACGGAGGTAAAGTCGAGTCAAATGCCCGGGGTTTGACTCATACATAAATGTCAAATGTGGGTCTAGATTGCGTTTCGCATTGTATATGTATGGAATCGCTGATGAGGCCCCTCATTTTCTTCGTTGTTCGACTCATTTTCTTCGTTGTTCAAGTTTCAGCAAAATAGCATCCACTGCACGACCAACCACATTTTTCTCTCCAAATTTCCAATCACTCTTGAGAATTTCGAACCAGTTCACAAAACCGTTCTCACAACAAAAGTGTTTCATGGCTTCTTCGTCCTCCACATAGTTTCCTTCTCCAATCCACTGCACGGACGAATTGATGTTTTCTATCAGTAAAATAATAGGTATTTTCTTAGCTGGGCTCAAGGCTTCATCTAYCACATTTTTCCACTCGACTGCTGACCTCAGCGTTGTGTTGCTCGCTGGGCAGAAGACGACGGCACCGATTATTCCAACTTTAGATTCCCTGCGCTCTAAATATACCCTAGCCAATCGATCAGGTAGATGTTGACCAAGGACAGATAAATGCATTTCAACTGGTATTTTACCTGCATTATCATTTAAATTGTTATTGTTACATTGTTCATCGTTATCCTTGCATCTTTGTTTACTTCCACAGGCTGAAGAATCTTGCTTGTTTAACTCAACAGTCAGATCTTCTTGATTCCAATAAACGTCTTTTACTACCGTCTCAACACCGATAATGCAATTGCTATCACTAACACTTGGTTTCTCTCTGAAGTAATGCCGAATATACACTATTTTATCCCAGAAATTACATGCACCAACAAACACTATCCCCAGCGTTCTTGTTTCCGGTTTGCAGTCTTGCTGGTTGGTTTTAAACGTTGTAAGTTGTACTTCTTTTCCTAAGGCTCTAATGGATTCAATCAGGTCATCTTCAGGAGTTTCATATGTAATATGTGAATGTGCCATTGCTAGAGTCGAAATCAGTCGGCATCAAGTATTTTGAAACAGGAAGCCCAAATCCTTACAGAGGGATCTAGTAATCTTGTGGGGTTACGGACTAGGCAACGCTCACATTTATCTCATTCACGCTAAGCAAGTAGCCATATATGCCCTTGTAAGTCAAAATCAATATAAAAACACTTCTTTATTAATCATTTCGGCCATTATACGGATATTGACTATGTATTTTATTTTTATTGACTTAAAAGTCGAATATGGCCCAATCACATGCTAATATTCGGAAAATGATTCTCCTTCGTTCCATTGCAATATCAACAAGTAAATATAAACAAATTAAATGAAAATTTACAAATTTGATTCCTTTCTTTTTACTCAAATATGCTGAGACGATAAAATTGTATTATTTACAGCTATCTTCTCTACACAATCGCAAGAGAAAGAGCGCTGATGATRATTCGTATGTGATGAAATTAAGAAATAACTAGCGCGAAAGCGGCGAGTATTTTCCGTCAGCACTGAAAATGACAAAGTCAGCGCATGCGCACAAGTGAAATGATGAACCGCATGGTCAACTGGTCAAAATGGTGGGAACTAGCGGTAAACTAGTGTGAGCTGCGTCGGTGTTTCTAAAGAAACAGTTGTGTAAAAAGATAAATTTAGCACAGTAAAAAAGTATGTGAAATATCTTACTGACGTTTCGGACGTTACTCCTTCGTCGGAGGAAGGATTATAATGAACTATATATTTTGTAGTCTCCGCGGTGCCGTTCTTAGAGCTAGTAGGGCAGAAGAGAGAATTAGAAGAGACAGTGCTAAATTGTTAAAGTTTACAGTGAATGACTTCAAGACGCTCTGAAAATCGACGCAGAAAAAGAATATTTGAGGGATATACCTTAAAAAGAAATCAGTGTTCAGTTCAGTTTAAAAAACAAATCATAACTCTGCGGGTCTTCATTGGAACTTCTTATAGGATATTTCGACTTCCACGGCTTCTAAGTGAAGCAACCGGGAAAAAATCGYGCACTTTTAAAAGGTTGTAAATTTATTTGATGTAAATATTATGTAAGTCAGCCCTGAAAATAATGTGAAGTGCTCGATTTTCAGGTTAGTGTTAAAAAGTGTCTATTGTGTTCGGTGTATTTTAACTTATTTTCAAACAAATTGAAGAACCCCGGGGGGCGGGTGAAGAAYGTAAAAGTTGTAACATGTCTCGAAAAGAATCAAGAAGCAAACTATCGATCGGTCCACTAAGAATCACCAAACAATGTTGGACTTATTACAAATGACCCACAAAACAGGTCAGACATTTATACAGTGAACAAACCAGGATYAAACAAACGGTTCGAGTGCTCGAACTTTTACCTTCAGTATATAGCAGCTGTCTCGATATTTCTTTTCTGAAGTACGGTATGGCAAGAATATATAATCGAGTTAAAATGCAGAGTAACTCATGCCACAATAGAAGAAGTTCCTTCTTTGCAATCAATGATTGGTGGACCCATTTAACTATGGTGGACCGCGATGAGTCATATTTCGGGAGTGAGCTAAGCGCTGAGCTGTGCTTTGTGACGTCTATAACTGCTAGCTTCAATAAACTTCGATGAAGCGGGACCCTAATACTCGGTAATATTTGAATCTTGAAAAGTTTCTTTTCAAAGTCACTAACAATTTTCATTCATTTTACTTATTCAAAAGTATAGTATTACACCGACATAGAAAAATTAAAATAGAATCAGTTTATTTTTCCGTAAACACCATTTCGAATTTTGGTCTTATATGGAWATTTATGCTACGCTTTCCTTTGCTCCCGGCCGCTGATTTAGGCTTTGTTCGTGGCCACTGAACCTTCGTATGGAAAGTAGTGAATAATAATAGCTTTCGGTACGAATTATAGTGTCTGGAACTCATTTCCAAGAGTTATTATTCCAAATTTTTCTGGGGGAGGACCCCCCGACCCACCTTAATACTCAAGCCTTGGGAGGTCGTTAGCCCCCCAATCTAAAATATGTCATGTCGGTCCCTGTCATGTGCGTATTAGCCAAAAAAGTCCACGCTACGCGCCTGTAATTGTGTCTTTTAAAAATCTACTGTTCAACAGTTTTTTGGGTTTTTTAACTGGTCACTGTTTGTGTAGTCAAGCTCAGGCTATCCTCACGAGCATTGAACTCGTTCACCAGACATGTATTAATTACAACCCATATACATAAAATGATTGTAAGCCGCGTGGCTGCCAATTGCGCCTTAAAAACAGCGGTCCGTGTGAAATGATCTATACATGTGAAGCGCCTGTGAACTCAGAGGATATCGGCGCTATATAAATACCACATATTATTATTTTTATTATTATTATAAAATGATTGCACAAATCAGTTTATTGGTGATGTTAGCATTAAAACTACAATTTATAATGCAATGACATTCGATACAAGAGACCAAAAGTTAATTCCTATCTAACATTAGTAGTTTACTGACTTTTGGTCAAAAATATAAGAGTTAATTGACTTTTGACCCAAAAATTTGTAGTTAACTGAATTTTGGGACTTTTGGGTACCCACACTGACACCCTCTTAAAAACCTTCATGGGTGGGGAGGGTGGCGTTAATTAAGGGTTCGCGSTTTTGGGCATTTTTTGGTGCGGCGTTGTCTTTATTTTTTCTTGCGTGGAAAAAGCGTGGTTTTTCCAAAATTTTCTTTTACGCTAACTTCTGGAAGCCAAAATAGTGACTTCAACAATTAATTTTCGATAGTAAAAGGCTTATTGCTCGTTCATACAGCTACGTGTAATATGATGTATGATATAGCCATTTTTCAACAAGACAGGGAATAGTTGTTTTTAACGTGGTAATTTGGTAAGTCTAGTGAAGGTTTACAGTAGCCTTAAGAAATGCTCTCTTTGAATTTCTTGCTATGATTTCGAATTCAACAATGTTGAAGTAAAAATTTGTTGTAAGACAAGAGGAAGCTGCTTGGTATCCAGGCAGACAAAGGCGTGGCCACTGGGAAGTGTCTTTACAAGCCTTCAAAACAAAGACRTCATGGTTAGTGAATAAGTGAAATAGGTTGATTGCAACCATTGAATGAAAAACAACAAATAGAAAGCAGTGAGAGTCTAGTGCCAAATCAAACCCGATAGTGATTATGGGTATGCATGCAATTAACGATGGATTGCCGTGCGTTTGAAATAAAGCTTGCTGCGCTCGTGATTTTTTAAGCGTTTTTTTTTCGTGTTTACCCAACATCCCTCCTTGATATTGAAAGTTAGTATTAATGCTCGCGAGCGTGCATTTACCGGCGAAATAAATTACGCTCTTGGACCAATCAAAGCGTTCGTACTATTACACCTATATTATAAATGTGAATAAAATAAAACAATAACAAATATACAGTTACCTATCGGCCTGGTTGCCCAACGAGCCAATGAACACAGCGAATGCATTGACTTTAGAATCACGTGTCAAGACATTCCCGAATTGCTCCGCGGGGATGCCGTACCGTGCAAGATTAGCGTCACTCAGCACAACAACAAAGTGTTCATCAGCATCAAAACTTGACACTTTAYTWATAGCACGTGCCGTCGCCTCAAGCGTGAAGTCACCACTCATACAGTACTGGGCATGCGCATGCATTTCCTTCATGATGTCCAGTCTCTCTCTGTTGTTCTTAGGAAGTGAGTCGTCACTGACAAAGTTGATTTCAGGGGATTCTCCAGAATGCCCAACAATATCATACTGCAAATGATAAAAACGTTCATGGTCGTTATTTGTACATGACTTTCATTGTAAAAGGATTCTAAGAAACAAAGGCTGGTCAAAGGAGTCTTAGCGATTTAGGCACAGCACTGATATGGCTGTATCGCTTAGCTGTAGAAGTTAAGATACCGTAGGAAGAGTATACAGTGGAACTAAACACCTGTACCTTAATTTTATCATCGTATTTATCAAAAGCCTCCATGACTAGACAAGCAGCCTCCATCATTCTCTCAAGCCTACCATCCAAACCATTGAACCGATACATACTTCCGCTGACATCCACTACAAACCGCAGACGTTTGGGAAGACGCTGGGGAGCTCCAAGCTGCAAAACAAACAGAAAATTCTCAAGTAAAGGAACAAAGAATTAAAAATCAACTTGCCGTGTTTTGAGTGAAATTGTCGCAAACAACTTGCACGTGCGTGCAATACGAAAATATGAGTTTTAATATGTGAGTAAAGCTTTAGAAATAATTACTTCAGGCTCCTCTTCTCCTCTTTTCTTATAAATAGCGCGTTCTCCTGCAAGGCCCTCAATAAGCTTGGTATCATCGAGCTCTCCAGAGGTCTGGTGACGAAGCCATACTCGTTCCCGGTTCTTTGCCTGTAAACTATCAAGAATCACCCGAAGAGACTGGACTTGACGTCGAACACGTGACGAGAATGATTCGTACATTTCAGCATCATAATCACTCATTTGAATTTCTCGAAGCCTAAAAAAAACAAATGTGAATAGATAAATAAAGAAATAATGTGGGTATCCATGTTGGGACATGAGTTACAAATGCTATAACGAATGTTAGTAAGAATGATATCAAGTGTTATCACTAATGATTTATGATAGTGATCTGATACCTTTCTCTAAATGCTCGTCTTGCCATTTCACGTGCAGCTTTTTTAACATCATCAGGAACAGCATCCTTCTCTTCGTCTGATAATTGATGGACATCGTGTCCTGCATCAAGTCTGTAAGGGCCTCCTTTCCCACCAAGCCCTGCGGTATCTCGTCCACCAGTCCCTCCAGCCCACGTGTTACCACCAACATGTGGATTGCCAGATTCGTCTACCTGTAGACAAAGTGCACTATTAGTTGTAATGACAAATGGATTTTGCTGGAATTTACGACAGAACAAACAGTACCAAACTATTCATTCATCCTCTAGTCGCCAATTTCCATAAATCCATCTATCAACTCCATCCTCATTCATATGTTCTTCCAACCGTTCATTCACAAATCCTGTTTCCATTTATTTCTTCCATCTTCCTAGCGTTATTTTATATACATATTCCCTCATCAAGACACTCTTCAACATTACTCAAACCACGACCGCTACACTCACATCTCATAAAACATATATACTACTGATACCTTGCCATGTTTGGGTGCTGACACGTCTAAGCCACTCTCGCGAGAATAATTCACCTACAAAATTGATAATTATAACATACTTATCACTCATGAGAAATGATCTGGAGACGATGCTTGACACAAAGAATYATCAGTATTGTTACCCCGAAAGCCTCGTCTTGAATTCTTTTGTGACTGACTTAGTCAACAACTAGATCATAGTCAGTCTAAATACCTGGAGTTTACTTTGTGAATCTTGACCAATCAATCTTTTCCATTCTGTAAGAGAATTGTCTAGGTTTTTGAACCCAGTTTCCCATATTCTAACTTGTCCAGCGGCATCAATTGTTACCAGTCCCTCATCAGATGTGTGCGCCATTACAAGCGGTACTTGTGACCAGCGTGTATACAAAGAAAGGATGCGTCGTCCAGGTAATGGGAGGTAGCGTATAGTGTGCYTTCCTACATCAACTACCTCTAGATATCCCATATTTGGAGCTGATGTAACGTCAGACTCCATTTTACTTTTCTCAGGAACGAATGAGTCTGGTACAAAGCGAACAACCTGTCCAGCGGTTGGCAGACAAACAGGAGGAACCAAATCAAAGTGAAGTACATCATTATCAAAGGATTTCTTTGACTGACCTTCAAAAGAGAAACAATAAAAACTATTAATAATGAATCATGTTGGTGATGGTCAAGACGTTCATATTAGCRCACTAACAATGGCTTACTTTGTTTTTCTCGAGTTTTCCTGATTTCTCGWGGAAAAGAAAACAATGAAACAGRAGACCTGTTGACGAGTTGGTCSGGTTGGGATAAAGCAATGTTCGCATAGCTATTTTTATCTGTAAGTAATCGATTACTTCTTGATCTCTTGTTGTCTCCTAGTGCCGAACACAAAACATCTTGGGTAAGTCTACGAGTAGATATCGATTGCCAAAGAGACTCAGTATWGTCCTCATCGTTGATAATTGGATAGAGCACACAAGGGACTGGGGCTTCGGGATAAGGCTTTCCAAGAAAGTACTTCCGGTCAGTACCAGTCTCTCCCAATAGCCAGAGATCACGCGAGAAAGGATGAATCTGTCCAATCACAAAGGGAAACGTCATATGCTGAGTGACCTCCTCTTCTATATCGACAACGTCGAGTTTGTTGCTACCCTCCTGATATATTACAATCCAGTTTTCGTGAGAGAAACCGCTGCATATCTGAAATTTATTCTGTTCTTTTACCGAGAAATGGCGTGTTAATTTTCGTTTTGTGTTTTCAGCAACAGAGCCGAGGCTAAGAAATTTAACTGATGCATTTTGTGGATCTATTTGTAGCAAAACGTTTGATTCTTGGTCAAACAGTATAACTTGGCCATTCAGGTGTTTTCCAAGAGCTGCCATTTTTAACTGTGGTTGGATGGATAAGTATGTAGTGGGAAATAGTTCAAACAAATCAGATGCTACGGCAGTGTGTTCATTTCGTTGTGATGATAACAATGTAACAGGGTTAACTGTCAGCGCATGAATCCAGTCACCCCGGACATTACCTGAAATACCAACARTCAATGAAGTTACTGTRACGCCCGCAATGCATTGCGGGGTTTCAACACCCAGTGACTCATTTTAATTAAACACGTAGTTAAAATGTATATATTTGCATTCGAGTTCTCAAAATGTTCKTAAATTTGATGCAAACAAACCTGGTCCGACAGCTACTGATGCGACAAAGCTACTTTCATATAGGGGGAGATCCCAATGGCTTATTTGCTCAGTAAAAACACGAGATCTATCTATTATCTTGTCGAGATCTTTCTTCGACGTTGATAGAGGACGGGGGCCCTACAATATAATTACATCAGGTTCAGCCAAAACGAAGAGAAAGACATGCAATGATRACAAGGCAACGTATCGGGTAMAAATTCACCTTCACTTTTAGTTTCCGTTCCTCTACCGGACAGTTGATTATATCGCCCGTACCAGGCTCTCCTTCTGCTATCTGCCAGTTAGCCAAGAAAACTGGGGCCGATAAAGGAATCCTATGAATACAAACACAAAGACCTTATTGGTACTGATGTCGTTTGAATGGAAAACTGGATTGCACATTTGATGTTCGTGTTCGAGAAAAAATAAATCAAAACACCATTATAAAATGACATATTTTATTACGCATTTTTCCTTTGAAAAGATCTTTACACGGTTTCAAGTGAAAGTTTTTTTAGATTTTTAATTGAGGTGCACTGTACAGCAGTGGTAGCATTGCTTACTCGGTAACTAGGTTGATATTCCTTGATGATGTACCCACAGGGATACCATGTTTATGCATGACCTCCAATACTACGTCTTTCACTTCGGGATGATACGAATCAAAGTCRAAGACATTACGAACCACACTCGCAACACCTTCGTCGGGATATTCCTGTCGAACACGCAAAAAACGATAAAACTGATACAAA